AAAAAAAAAAAAAAAGAAATGGGGAAACTGAGGCTCAGAGGGACTAGCCAGGCGCCCCGCTGAGGCCAGCCAGCCAGGAAGCCCAGAGTCCACGTGCAGGGCCCTATCCGGACGCCCGGCAAATGTGAGGTGTGCCTCCCGCAGGGGACGACAGCGGCCGCTCGGGTGTCGGCCACCCGCAGCACAGAAGGACAAGAAGGCGTCGGGCTTCCCCTAGATCATCGGTGATTAGTTCGTAAGGTTTCAGCGAACCGCGTTCACGCCGGCACTCGTGGGGGGGTCGTATGCCAGCTCACAAAACACAGTCCAAAGTGCACTCGTCCGCTGGTGAAACCCCCCACGGCGGCGGCTCTGAGTGACCACAGGGCTACAAGCAGCGACTCTCTCCAGACCATGGAGACGGCGGGAAAAGACACACGCGTGTGAACAACTTTCTTCGTGTAGAGCAGCTTCCAGAATGAATCGTCTGACAGCTGCCCATATCCTATGGGCTAGAAAAGGAGGGTCTTGCGGGCTGCACGCTTCTTTCTGGAGCCCGTGCAAGAGGGCGCTGGCGGACGACGCAGGACGAGTGCAGAGGACTAGCACACTGGCCAAACGGCTCCTGGCTCTAAGAAATACCCAGCGAATGTCAATCATTGTTGTTTTGGGATCAAGCTTAACTCAATACCGCTGAAGGATCAGAATCTATTATTGTTAACGTGGTTCCAACATTTAATCCCACGTCACTTGGAATCGGGCACCTTTCATCTCACACAGAATTGCCAGTTACCACTGGGGAGTGACCACCGTGAGTGGACCTGGGGGCCGCCCCCCCGGGCTGCCTGGCCCTCCTGCGGGACGGGAGGCGCGCGCCCCTCCGGGCGGCCGAGGCCCAGGGACACCTCCCACGGTGAGGCCGCTCGCCTAACTGGGCGACCCCAGCCCTCGTTCTTTTCCGTACAAGCATCAAAAACCATCAGAAACCAAAGAAAAATCCTACTTTGCAGAGGGCTGTGTACGTGGTATTTCTCATAGGGCTAATCTTATTGATAGACTTGATCTCAGAGGATTATCTCAAGGGGGCAGTGACACCAAGGCCCCGAACTCTGCACCCCCGACTCCCATCTGGGACTAAACAGGACACTTTTCCTCCAGGAACCCTCCTCGGCCTCCGGCTCCCAACGACAAAGCCGAGGCAGACACTCTCGAAGCTCACACAGGAGAGGCGACTTGGGCAGCAGGGGAGCGGTGACCCGAACGCCACACTCGGGAGGCAGTGACGCAGAGTGGTGCAGTCAGTCCCCGCGTGTCCCCGTCCCTGGGAGCTCTGGGGAGCATAAATACCATTAGCGCATGATGTTTACCTTTGGGCTTGGAACCGAAGTTTTCAAATGTGCCATTTAACTATCCAACCTGAAAAAGTATCATTTTGCCTTTATTAGAGCCCAAAACTACATGTGTGCTCTGCCCACGTTACTCGGATTAAATGTTCGAGGGCCCCAATCAGACAGCCCTCTTTACGCGTACCTGTTAATTTATTTTTAAGTCATCCAGCAGTCTGCTTGACTCTGTCACAGAACATTGGAACAAGTGGAAAAACTGTATTTTGCACACTTAGCCCGGATCTGTCATTTGTTCAGTACAATGTGAAGGCCTGGGCACTTTTTCCACTGTGTTTCCATCTCGACTTTGTCTATCATGAAACCGTTTTCTAGAACACAGCTGTGCAGAATGCGCCTGGAGACCTGCACCATTCACGTCCCAAATTCTGAGTGGTTTTCTCTGCCAAAGAGACGATTTCGACCTACAGACCTGGGTACGTTAAAGCCACATCCCTGCCACACACCCGGAGTGAGATCTCAGCCTGGGCACCGGGGAAGGGGGGGGACGGGGACAGGGGACTGGGGGTCCAGGGGGTGCAGGGGTTCAGGCATCACTGCCACTCTACGTGGTTGCAGAAAGCTTCTGTCTAAATTGAATTCCTTTCCTGAACAGTCTTCACAGTATCTCCAAACGGAATTAATCATCTTGGACAACATCTGAATAACTGTAACGTGAATCATGAGTTGCCATATACGGGCAAGACAGAAAATCATTGTTTTCAGTTAACCTAATGTAAATAAAAGGAATGTTAATTGTACCTTCTTCAAAAGCAATGATTTAAGAAGCGATGCTGAATTAAACACAGCGTTTTTCTCCTTGGCTCACCTCCCGCCACACTCAAAAGACGGTCCTGGGCCAGACCACGGACTGAGCCACAGGTGGGACCTCCCTCTCCTCCCTAAGTCATAGCATGAGACAGCCACCTTCGTCGGCACATCTTCTCTTTGCTCGACGTATCTTGGGACAACAGCACAATGTCTTTAAGAAACACTCTCTGCGGGAGTTGCAGTGACTGCCTCTTAGATACGCACATACCTATCTGGGTTTAGTGAAACCTCAGGAGAGGAAGAGTCTAAACAAAGTGATGAATGAAATACGGATGAAGCACAAGCCTAAAAGGTAAATTCCCTTTGCTCTCATGTTCTAGTCACCGGAGAAGGGCCCTGAAGATAACATGCCAAAGAAAAGCCCTGATGAGTGCTCCCAAGGCTCACTTGGTGCTTCCCAGCCCCGCTTAGTGCTCCTAAGGCTCCAATCGGTGCTCCCCAGCCCCACTCGGTGCTCCCTAGCCCTGCTCACTGCTCCCCCGGCCTGCTCGGTGCTCCCCCGGCCCCTCGCAGTGCTCCCAAGGCTCCAATCGGTGCTCCCCAGACCCACTCGGTGCTCCCAAGGCTCCAATTGGTGCTCTCCAGACCCACTCGATGCTCCCCAGCCCTGCTCAGTGCTCCCCCGGCCCCACTCGGTGCTTCCGAGGCCCCACTCGGGGCTCCCCGGCCCCGCATCCTGCTATGGACTCAGTGGCTGCTGCCCTTACCAGAAATGGCTGTGATTTAGCGGATGGAGCACATCAGGCCAGTACATCTTCATTTCTGGCAGGAGGTCCTGTGCGGGAGGGAAAAAAAAATCTGTGTAGGACCTAACAGCTCAAAACCTACCAGGCAAATTTCATAAACTAGTACGTTAGAAAAGATGAAAAGATTCTGCCTCACTCTGCAGGAGACGTTTCTTACGACACGTGTGAACACGAAACCTGACTCATCACAGAAGTGTGTTTGAAAACGCAAGCGCTCGTAGGTGAGTGGGTGAAGTGGCCGTGCAGACAGGGAACACTACCGCCCAGCTCTAAAGAGACACGGCCATCAGCCAGGAGGGGACGCGGGGGAGCCTTCAAAGCAACAACCAAGCGGAGGCAGCCAGTCTGAAAAGGCTGAATGATTCCAAACGTGCGACACTCCGGAGAAGACAGAAGATCAGAGACGGTGGAAGGGTCAGTGGGGTCAGGGGCTGGCGGATGGAGGGGGGGAGTACGTGGAGAAGAACAGGGGATTTCCGGGCGAGGCTACCCCGTAGGATACAGCGGTGGACGCACGTCATATGGGTCAGGACCCCAAAACTACGTGACACAGAGCGCACCCAATGGGAACCCTAAGTTCTGCGAGTGACGAGGCACCGATACCGTAACGAGGGTCCCGCACGACGCAAGGCGTTAACAACACGCGACGGTCTGCGTATTGGGGGCACATACATGGGCAGTCTGGTCTCCACTTAATTGTCCTGCTTTAGGTTTCTGAAACTGCCCTAAAGAGTTGCATCTACTCGTTAAAAGAGACAACACAAAATACAGGCTCCCTGCGGGCTGGGCAGTCTGCGCCCCGCCCCTGTACCGCAGTTTCCCTAAATTGAACGGTGCTCAGGCTTACGTTCCAATTTCCACAAACCCCCGGGACCAGAAATAAAGTGAAACCGTGTGGAAACAAACTCAGGACGACTTCGCTCTGCCCACCAGTCGCGGAACCACCGGGCCCCCCCCCGCCCGCTCCCCCGCCCCAGCCAG